CTACTTTCCTACACATATGTTAAGCTTCACTTTGTCATCTAGTGTATATTTGTTTTTTTGTAGTTGTATCTTTCATCTGTTTCTCAATTATCGAGCCATCATCAGTTGGATACACACATTTCTCATTCACTGCATTGAGCTTTGTTTCACTATTCTCATTATATTCTAATCCTAATATTAAAGATGTGACGCCAATATTACAGGCCAAGATGTACTATATAATTAGCAATTAAAATATTCTTAAGCATTCCACTTTCAGATGGAACAGTTACACTTTGTGTACTTGAGTCAATGCTTTTCGCGTATTTTCAACTTTGATTTTAAGAAATTAGTGGACAATAGACCATCAATAATAAATTCGCTTTCAGACAACAACAAACTGTATGACCAATTTCAATAATAAATTCTAATCGTCCCATTATTATATATATCATTTAATACAACGCTGAATTTACTTATCTTTCTCTAGTGTTTATGGGGTTGTGTGTTGGACATGTCATGTATTACATCTATCATGGACAATATCCCACGTCCGCATACCCATACCCTAGACACTTTCTTGTTAATTCTTAGAATATTATGCATAGCATTTACGATTTATTTCAATACATATTTTTAATTTAATAACACTTTGTACATACGACTTTTTTTAGACATATATCCTACGTTCAAATTCACACTTTGAAACTTGTTGGACTAATAGGTTGTAATCATTTCACTTATATTAGCTAAGAACTAGCAATTTAATTAGGTGGATTTGCCTATCATAGATGTAGAATTATTGATTTAGCTCATTTGTAATTTCAGTCCTATTAGTGCTCCTTTTGTCTACGCTTTTATGAATTTAGGATATTCTAACAACTGGATCAAGTAACAAGTATACCCAGTTATAAGCTCATGTTTAACACATCCAAGTATGTAGGCGCTTCTAGGTTTAGGGCATATAGCAAAGTTACAAACCAAACACAGAACGAGGCTTTGGTGATGTCTGGAGCATAGGCATTCTCCCTGCTGCAATGCAGGTCATGACGTGCTGAATGTTGTCTACTCCTATAAGTGTTACAGTAATGTTAAAAAATATATTATTAAGATTGGTAATCATCTTGTAAATGGAGAGTTTAAAACGCAAGGCTGAAAGGGTTGTTGATCGCTAAATGTGGTGCGATGTATTAGAGAATGCTTAGCTTAGGCTCGCAGTTAATGGATTTATTGTAGACTTATGGGACCAGCGATCTAGTGAATTAGTTTCCTCCAGTTAGATGGATATTGTAGCCTTATGGACAGTCCGATCAGTAAAGTTTCCTGTATAGATAGCCAAGTTAAGATGGCTTAAAGATGCTAGTATGTAACATGAGCTTCTGTCTAGCAATTGCTTCTGAGGTTGGATTGGATGCATGAATTCTAAGAGGCCAAGGGCTTGCAAAGCAAACTCGGAATCCTCTTAAGTACTTTGACATGCCAATTGGGCACAAGCGGTATAGGTCTGCTATGCGCTGATGTGTTGTAATTTACTATAGAATTATAAATGTAAAAAGATGGAACTTTGTTTTAAAATTGTTTATGCTCTAAGCCTGCGGCTGCAGCAGTGGTAAATGACAAGCAATAAAAATTTGATCTTAATCTTTGACAAATGGCTGCATGAGTCCTTTTGATCTATTTAAGCTCGTCTCTTAAGCATTTGCACTCTATGAAAGTGGTATGATATAGGCATATTGTTTTTATGTCCTGGCTTAGGGGGCTGGGTTATTAATTACTACTACTACTGACTTACTTTTTTAATGTGTTACTGGTTCGCCCTTTCTTTATTTTCTTTGTTTGATTCTTTTTTTTCCTTTCTTCTGTTCCCTGTTTTTTCGGTGGGTGTCAGGGTGGGCGTTTTCTATTAAGTAATGTGATATCAAGTATGATGTAATATGGAATTTTTGGAGAGGAATAAACTAGATATTTTTGTGCCAATTTAGTGCAACTGCTGAGAGCACTGAGACGTTTATTCTTCAACATTGAGGCTTTTGAATCTTATTGTAGGCGAATTTGAGCGAACGAGCATATTCTTTAGTTAGGTTTTAGTACCATGTTACTATTTTGTATATTCTGTACATGAACATGTAATTAGCTATATATGCAAATTTCTTGCCATACTGATTGAGACTGCCTGGCAACTCTCGGTCTGATCTTGACTCGTCACCTCAATTACCCCTACCGCCCCCACGCCCCGAGGAGACACACACTTATCTAACTTACAATTGGTCCGCAATCCTTTAATCCATATAAAGTTTCATTCGGTGCATATTGATGTGTTTAATATCCTCGATGAGCAGATTATAATTTTATAAGGCTTTGCTGCGCGTAATAATAATGGCTCCAATATGTTTACGACTTTTTGGTGAGTTCATGAGCAATATATGTCGGTCCATTTGACCGGAAATATTAGCGCCGATATGTTGCATAATATTCTTTATATGGCTTGTCACAAAATAATATATCGATCGGCTTTTGGAAAAATTTAGGCGCAATATTTCATGAGTGTTTTCGATATATCTATTGTGATATTTGGGCCAATTGGCGCAAAATGGTCATTAGCGCGAATTAATTAATTTGGACTTTTAATATTGAGATTTATTTGGCTTCATTAGTAACTTACGTTTAATTAAGTATTTTTAAGATTCACAATATTGCACATCCATCTGATATGACTATCCAAAAATCCTATGTAGCACGGACACGGATCTGAACATATTGTACTCCGCCATCCGACGACGCCGACACGAGGCAAATGCCTAAAAAATACATGAGGATACGTGGTGCTTTCGACACGTGTCGTTCGACACGGTGTCGCACACGGACACGACACGGCTTCCATTTATGCCGTGTCTGTGCTTCATAGCGCCAATATCTACTACATATCCTTGATATTCCCTTGATATGCTCGCAAACCCCAGTATGGATTTTATTTGTCCCTGATATTTTCGCCTGATTATCTGCATGCTTAAAACCTTTTGATGGCAAAAAAGGTGCTTGAATGTAGAATAAAATGGATACCAAAAGTGAACCAAGATAATTTAAATGCATATCTTCAACTAGAATATTGACAGTTGTCTGATAGCATATACGTTAACCAGTGATTGAGTGTGTACCTAAACCCTAATTCTTGAGAACGCTTTCTCTTTAAGGAGTGATAAACATGTACAACCATCCTTAACGCAATAACTTTTAAAGTGGGAAATTCTTGGCCTCTAATCCTAAACAAGCACCCCTAGTCATCTGTCAAAATACTCTCAGTCTCGTTATTTGTAGTTTCTGCAATGCAAATTCCATGGCAGCAAATGCACCTGCTGCATAATTATCACCGATATATTGGATTCTCATATGCCCAACCCTGCAACAAATATTTACAGGTTTATAGCTTTTTTTTATTTTTTGGAAGTTTTTTGTCTGATATGTCGTCCGATATCGCGGTATGTCCCAATATCAATAATATCGCTATATTGGTTTGTTTTGGGTTTGGTTTTGGTTTCCAACCGACTGAAATACCAAAATAAAACATTCCTTTTGCTTCAGAAATCAATCAATATTTCACAAAAATCATAACCCTTATAATTATGCGGTGGCTCACCTCTCTCTCGCTTTCGGCCCATAATGAGCTCCCTCTCTGCTTCTGGCCGCCCCCCCCCGCTCCCCTTTCTCTATCTGCCTCTGCTCTCTATCTCTCTTTTTCACTCTTTCTGCCCTCTCTCTGTCTCTCTCTATTCTTTTGTCTCCGTCTCTCTGCCTTCGCTCTTCTTTGTCCCTCTCCCCCCTCTCATCCTCCACCGCTTTCTCTATCTTTCTCTACCTTTCTCTAATATATTTCTACGTCTTTTTTAATGTTTTTTACTTTGAAGTTTTCATGATGCAATCAAGAAGAAAGTTTTTACAATCTGTAAGTCATCCTAAAAGTTGTATCGTGATGCAATTTCTTATGTTTAGAAACTATTAAATGTGTTTAGATTACATATTAGGATGTTATATTATGCATGAATATCATCTGATATGACAACCCGATATTTACTACTTATCCCCGATATATCCCTGATTTTTGCAATCTGATATGAATTTTGATCATCAGATATTTACGTGATATCCAATATTTAAAACAATTTATGCAACCCATGCTCAGTACATAACCATGTGAATTGTTTTGAAGGATTGTGAATTCTTCCCATGGTCTTTTTCTTAGTTCTGAGATGGCTGTCCCATGAAACATCATGATGCTCAAGCAGCAAACTAATCCAACTTTAGTTACAGATGAAGAAAGCTTAGCAGAGGATTAGATTTTTAGAAACTTTGATCCTTGAGGATATTGAGTCATTGTACATAATATATATGCACAGCTCTGGTAGATTTAGTTGTCTGTCTATTTTATTATCTTGTAAAGTCAATCCTTAAGATTCATGTCTATCATGGTAATATTTTGCATTTCGTCTGCCTGTCCTTCTCTGATGAGGAATTAATAGGGAGATTTTCATACTGGTCAAATGCTTTCAGTAACCAATAATTTTATTCTAGGGTAAATTTCACAAAGCACAAATTTTAGCACCACATATAAATGTTTGAGCCATCCACGTGAAGGTAAGTGGCAGTATGGGACAGTTTAGGAATTTATTCGTCCTCTACGTGGCACAGAAATCCCGCTTCTACAGGGGATGATCTGACAGAATTTGTACTTTAGTAATCATAAAAAAACCTCCCGAAGTTCTCTCACTTAAGTATCGTGACTGACAACATGTACTTCAAGTATTCATGTGCTCCGTATGCGACAACTTTTGCACAATTCTACTTCTAAAACCTTTTATTGTACTAAATCAGGTTATATTTACTGTGGGCATCAAAATCTATAAGGATTTTTTTTCTTAAGACCCCCCACCCTTGAGCTTGCATATTAATTTTTTCATGCACATTGTATATCAATACACAACTATCATTAACTATGAACCTAAGAGTCATTTCTCTTTTTCACTTAGGATGGTAAAGCTGCAGTTACTGCATCCCTAAAGGGAGGAGAGACTGAGGCCCTGGAGAGACTGAAAACGTTTGCAGCTGAATGCCATGCCCAACCTAAAACTGAGGGCAAGGGTGGTGCTCGAGACAGCATCTATGGTGCTAATTTCTCTTGCAAGATCTCTCCATGGTTAGCTACAGGATGTCTTTCTCCACGTTTTATGTTCGAGGAACTGAAAAAGACTGCAGCCAGGTGTTCTATTCTTAATACCCTATTTTCATTTTGTGGGATAGGAAATTTTTCAGTAATTCCTCTTAATATGTGGTCATATTTTCAGAACCATATCTGCGTCAACTAAGAAGCAAGGCGATGATGGAATGAACTGGCTTATGTTTGAGTTATTATGGAGGGATTTCTTCAGGCAAGTCATAGTTAATGCCGAAATATGGAAGCAAATAAGACAAAATTCTTGCAATTTCTCAACCTATTTTGTTCTTCTCTCAGGTTCATAACTAAGAAATACAGCTCCAACAAAAGAAAGACTGAAGCGGTACCCGCTACAGCTTGCACTGGAGCCCTTGCTTGAGACTCTAAATCTGGATGTCAAAGGAAATTTATTGTGAGGGTTGAGTTAAAAATGGTTAAAGTCATCTTTTCGAGTTTTGTGTCCCTGATCAATGTTGTAGCTTGAAATTTATGAAGTTGATCAATTTTTGGTCTGCAAACTAACATACTATGTTCTTTGATTAAGGTTGTCTTATATCAGACTGGAAATTTCATTAATAAAACAGTTTCTGAATTTTATGATGTTACTCTGTCTAATTGAAGGCAAACAGGTAGTTGCGACTGTGAAATTTGGTTTTAAATGTCTTGGATAAATACCCTCTCTAGTGTCACCTAAAAAGTAAAGAACTCAGAGCTGTTTGTTCCCCTGGGTTTTGTGCAAACCTAGGTGAAATTTGGCAAAAAAAAAAAACTTTCTAAAATATTTCCTTAAAAAATATTAAAAATTAAAAGAATTTGTACTTTTCTATGGGTAGTGGCAAGTAGCTAGGCTGTTCTTTAGGATAAATTTTCAAAACCATCCGGTTTTGAAATTTATTCCCAAGAAAAGATCTTTTTTAACTTTAATTACAAAAACAGTCCCAGTTGGATGAAACTGGGTCTGTTTTTGAAAAAAAAATTCAAACTTCACGGGAGTTGAACTCCCGTGAAGTTTTTTCTCATAACAAAACTTCACGGGAGTTCAACTCCCGTGAAGTTTGAAATTTTTTTTTTCAAAAACAGACCCAGTTTCATCCAATTAGGTCTGTTTTTATAATTAAAGTTGAAATGAGTCGTTTTTTATAAATAAATTTTAAAAAGGGATGATTTTGAAAATTTGTCCCTGTACTTTACAAACTACTTCCAAACCGCTAAACTCGACTTGTGCAGTCCTTGACGACTCATCAACTTTGATGGAAAGGACCTGATATGTTTGTGTGCAGTACTGTAGTAGTTTGAATAGTGTAGTTTAATTAGAATTATCTTTCTTTGGAGTTTTTATATGGTTAGACAAGTTGCCTAAAGATCAAAAAGTAATGTTGCAACTATAATTGCTCTGACTTATTCGACAAAAAAAATTATCAAAACTACATTTCAGCTTGCCTATAATCGCTCTGACGCAGATAGTTTTTTTCTTAATTAAATGAGCCTAATCTAAAATCAAACAAAGCGAACCATACCGACCTAATTTGGGTCGGTTCAGTTAGATTTTGAAATAAAATGATTTGGTTCAGTTTCATCAAAATTACTCAAAATCGAACCAACCAACCTTTTACTAACAGCTAGGTAAATGATAGAAGTGGATCCATGCTTTAATCACGGTAACAGGTGCAACACGCTTTTCTTTGTTTTCTTACTTGGTAATTTACTAACAAACAAGTATTGAATTTGTCAAAGAAGAATTTTTTAAAAAACCCCCAACCCAAACTTTTTTAAACAATCGACCTACTTTGATTTTTATTACAAAAATTGACTCAGTTTCTAACTACGTCAGTATTGTGGCCAGAAACTAGGTCGATTTTATAAAATTAGCTTCCTAATTAGTCGGGGTTGCCAACCTCGACTAATTAGGACTACCCCACTGCCACTTGCAAGGTTAGGCGATCTAAACTTGCAGGGTTAGGCGATCTAAACAACTCGGGGTTGCGAACCCCGACTAATTTGGTCGGGGTTCCCCACCCCGACCGTTTGGGATTGCCCCGTACAAAATGGTTAGGATAGGGAACCCTGACCATTTAGTAGAGAGTGGGGATGCCCAAGTCGAAATGGTCGAGGTTCCCAACCCCGACCATTTGGTAGAGACTCCCCCACCCTAAAGACGGGGAATCGACTAAATCACCAAATAGTCAGAGTTCCCAACCCTGACTATCTTTGGTGGGCCCCTCCTGCTTATATATATATGGACCGAACCCCTCCTTCCCCAAGCTGTCTATTTTTCTCTCTCTCACTCCGGTCTCTCTCATTCATCCGCCTACCCGGTTCTCCCAACCCCATTTTGTGGCTGAAATTCATCATGGAAGTTTGCTTAAGATCTCTAAGGTACCGTTTGGCAAAGGGTTAAGTGAGGGGTTAAGGAGATTTAACCCCTTCTTAACCTGCCAAACACAACAAATATATAAGAGTTAAAGTGAGTTAACCCTCCATAATTTGCCAAACATAAAAAATATAAAATGGTTAAGTTAACCCCTCTAGAGGGGTTAAAATGATTTAACCCCTCAAAATGAGGGGTTTACTAATACTCCTATTTAGATGGAATAAGAGTTAACCCTTCTAATTATAAAGAAAATAGTCAAAATCATTGTTATTCCCAAACACTAAAACTGATCATAAGGGCTAAAATAAAACTGATTTAACGGGTTAATAATTTAGTCCTTCGGATTATCAAATGGGCTAAGTACATTAATCCTTCTCTTTAACCCCCTCTTCATTAACCCTTTGCCAAACGGGGCCTAAGGTAATTTCTCTTCCTTCTCTCTTCTTTTAATATGTAAAAATCTAGGGTTTTTCTCTTTTCTTCAACATTCAAATGTAGGGTTTTTATCAAAATCCAATTTCTAGGGTTTGAAATTTAATATCAATCACTATCTTTGTGGTGGTTCGAATGCTTTGTGTGTTAATTGTTATAATTGAAATTAAAATTCTAGGGCATACAATGCTCAATTTTAGGGTTTAGGGTTTTTATTTTGGAGTTTAGGGTTTTTGATCAAAATTATATGAGATTATTTACATCTAGAGTTTTCCTCTTTTATTCAATGCCATGATAAACGTTTTTTTATTTTTTATTTTGTATTTAAATGATATAATCTTCTTTTGCATAGGTTGAACAATATGATTTTTATTGCTTGCTATTATGATGGGAAATTAATTATGGAATGAATAATATGCCAATGTACGTCGGAGGGATAACGACGCCGTTAATGATCTCAGAATCATATAGTTAATGTGATTTGATTAAGGAATTATAACGAGTTACAAAAATTAATCCACGAGGGTACCGACTAAAAATAATATGCAATTGGCCCATAACTTTTGATAGAAAGTCCACAGTTAAGATCTCAAACGATCATCATATGAGTATAGTGTTTAATTTGAGTAAGTCGCAACTAACGATAGAATTGTTTATTGAAAAGTTTCCACATAGTTTGTACCAGATATTCAAACCTCCACGAGAATTTGCACGCATGTTAGATTTGGGAGTTGAGTCTGACGGGTTTCTTTCTTCTTCGAGTGAAATGGAGCGGACTCAATTTCAATATCCAAGTGCACCTTCATTTGGGGGAATGTCAAATATTATGAATAATAAAACCCCTTATGAAAATATGAGGCCATTAAGAGGTGCAGCGATTAAAGAGGGTGAAAGAAGCAACTACTCTGAACGTGAAGAGCAATATAGTACACCAATTGATAGCATGCAATTTGTGACTGAAGATGGTGAAGAGCAAGATAGTGCAAATAGATGGAATGTTTCCAGATAGTGGAAAACCTCCCTAAAGAGTCAAGAAAACTTTTACAAGAACGAGCTTGATCAAATGGAGGATGAACATGTATAAAAGCATAATATCTAACTATATTCAATCACTACATCATTTGTTACTGATATGTAACTTTAAGTAATTTTCTTTATAGGTCAAGTGGATGCCCCATAAACTGGTTTTAGCTTCACTACTAGATATTTGTAAAGATGGTGAAGATATATGGCATGCATGAGTACAGATTATATGTTTTGAGATTGTCAAAATACACGTGCTCGATCGTGTGCTCCGACAATTTGGATTAAAATAACATATTCCATATCCTGTAGAAATAATAAAGTGAAATCCCCGAAAAGAAGCACATCATCAAAATTGGGAGATAATTCGTCATGCTTACATTGAGAATTTAGAGTTGATGAAGGATGCTGTAGTGATGGAGAGGGCTGACACACCCGAAATAGTTGTACACGTATGTTAGTATTGGGGGATTACTCGTCGATGAATATTTCGAGAGAAAAAAGAACGTAAGGAGTACATACCGAGAGATCCACTTGAGAGAGAGTTCGTAAGTGTATAGGTAAAATATACAATTATTTTGTGATTATTGTTTTTATTATCATCCAATTGCTAATAACCCTCTTTCGTTTTTTATCTTATAGGTACAAGAACTCGATCAGGTTGCTTCTATTGTACATGATGCATTGAGATCGACTATCGAGCCAGCGGTGAGGAACGCATTTGTTCGCATCATAGGAAAGATTTAGTCCGCTCTTAGAAAGATGTGTCATGCAAATCATGATGGGCGTGAGGAACGATTCATAGGATACAAGCGTCGACGGGTTCGAGGACACACGAGAGCGGGCTCAAGTTGTGCACATGATGAAGCCAGAGGCTCACAGTAGGCTCAAGCCGGATGTTCACAGTAGGTTCAAGTCGATGAGGATGTCATGCGCTCATAAGTTCACACACAATCGGACGATGAGATAATCCAAACTCGTGTTGAAGGCGAACGGGGAAGGGGTAGAGGAAGGAGGAAGAGCGAGAGGAAAGGGAGTTCTAAATATTTGCTAAATTTCGATATACTCCATATGATGTTTATGTTTGAAATACTATGATGTTTATGTTTGAAATGCTATTGTGACTTGATTATAGTTGGATTTTTAGTAAGTGAATTGCATGTTATGTTTTTGATAGAGATTGGTTATAGATGTAATAATTATATAAAGATGTGTTTATTTGTTATTGAAATTAATTATGAATTGATATATGTGTAACAAGAGAGTTTGCGTTAAACTTGACAATTTTAGTCGAGAATTGATATATGTTAGCAGGAGATAAGATTTTTCAGCAAATATGTGGGATAGAGGGTCTCTGCCAAATGGTCGGGGCTGGGAACCCCGACCATTTCGTGCACGATATGCATGCTCTGCTAAATGGTTGGGGTTTCCAACCCCGATCATTTTGTGCAGGGCAATCCCAAAAGGTCGAGGTTGGGAACCTCGACCAAATTAGTCGGGGTTCGCAACCCCGACCCGCAAGTGGAGATGAGGTAGTCTTAATTAGTCGGAGTTGGCAATCCTGGCTAATTAGGAAGCTGATTTTTTTTAAATCGACTCGGTTTCTGGCTAAGATGCTGACGTGGCTAGAAATTGGGTTGATTTTTGGAATAAAAACTAGAGTAGGCCGATTTTTTTAAAAAAAAATTTGGGTTGGGGCTTTTTTGAAAATTTCTTCATTTGTCAAATGTTATGATAAAAAAGGATTTCTATAGGATAATATTCAGTAAACTAATCTTCTTGGGAATGGTACACGCATTTGGATTGGATCACCATCATCATAGAATAACAGATGAGCAGTCGCCTTTGTGTTTGGATATCTATATCTCTCTCTAGTTGATAGATGTGTGTTTGCCACGTCCTTTTCTAATTCTCTATATACGCTTCATTGTCAACCCCTCTCTCTCTCTCTCTCGCTAGTCGCTTCCCATTAATTTGAAAGCAAATTCTCAAGCATTTGAGTACAAAACAAATTTCAACTCTCCGCTTCTCTCTATTTATAGAGTACCAACTAATTTGATCTCTCTCTCTCTCTCTCTCTCTCTCTCTCTCTCTCATTGCTTAGCTTAGGTATAGGCTACAAGCAACATGGAGGTTGAGTACCAAGAGGTTAGTACAACTTCTCATATTCCTTCTCTATTAATTAAAATTATCTTCCTTGTCTTCTTTTATTTTTCTCTGTGATTTTCAAATTTATGAGTTGAATAATGATTTAATACATCTTCGTGAACAGGGTCACATTAGGAATGCAAGAGGAGTGAAGCTCTTTACGTGTAGATGGCTACCACTTTCATCTTCACCCAAGGCCCTTGTCTTCCTTTGCCATGGTATCTGGAAAATTACAAACAGCACCCTCTCTTTTTTTTTCTTCTCTTTTTTTTTGCATTCTTCATTTTGAAATTTATTCTTTTTCCTCTTAGGAAAATAATTGTGAATTAGTATTTTTTTTTTCCTTCTGCCGTTTTGCAGGGTATGGCATGGAATGTAGTGAATTCATGAGAGGTACTATTATAAGAAATTTTATTCATTTGTAGTTATGGCTCGTTCACATCTTCCCTATTTCTAGTAGTTTAAGGGCATGTTTGGCTAATACTTATTTTCTGAGGCCTTATAAGTTACTTATTAGTTATTTTTACTTATTTTTCCAAGGGCAATGTAGACATTTGTCAACAATAAGTAAATCTCCTTATAAGTGGACAAAAAATAAGTTGGGAAATCCCAACTTAGTTTTTGGCTACTTACAAGTTAAAAAATAAGTAAAAAAAAGTGAACTTTACCGAACATGAATTTGGAACCATCTGAGAAAAAACAAAGCCAAACACGCTCTAATTAGATTCCCTTGTTTATTTAATAATAAGCTAGCATACACTGTATAAAAAATGAAACAAAATTTCTAATTTTATTTTCTTAATTTGAGGTTTTCTTGATTTGCAAGTTTATTCATGCTCATAGATACTTTTACGATATTTATGAAAATAAAAGAAGGGAGTTTAATTACCTGTACTGTACCAGATTCTCTAATTTAAGATGCAAGTCTAAAACATCCAAGTTTTATAACTAAAACTACTAACTTTATGAACTTCTATGGATTGTTTTTTCCCCTCGTTATAGATGCTGACAGTAAAAAAGTTCCAGATCAAAAGTAGTTCAGCCATCTTTGTCAAAAGAAATCACTCTTACTAGCATTTTCCTAATTTAAAATAAAAAATTTCCAGAACTATAGTCTACTTCTTCCACCATATCCAATTAAAAAATTACCTACCTTCTAAGACTTTATCCAATTAATCTCTATAAAAATATTGGTAAATTAAACTGCTGACAACAGAACTACACCCAGTTTTGTAATTATTGAAACTTCTAGGGGGAATTATGATCTTTGACTTTACTCGTCCATCTTATTCCTCTATTTCCATTCTTCGAGCAACCCACACTCTTTTGAGACTTTTCATTTATTAACAAGTACGATTCTACCCTTTAATTTAAACTTAAATAAAAAAGGATTTTAGGAGTACCGAAGCCATTCTCTTTTATTTGTTTCAAGGGATCAACCAACCAATCCATTCATTTCTCCTATAAGCAAAACAAACAAAAAATGTGACATCAACACTTGATATCATCATCATCACTATCATCACCATCATCTTCTTCTTCTTCATTATTTATTTACTGGCCATCCATGAGTGGCGTCACATATATATCCATCACCAGATCAAACCAAGAAGATTGCGTCCCCAATTAAGTGGACCCCAGACCAAACACCAATTTATTGTGATTAATCAAATTAAGTCACATGGTATTTACATCTTTCTTACATTTGCTAAATCATAATCGTCAATTCATACTTAGAACAAATATGATTCATTTTAACTATAATTTTTTGGTTTATTACGAATAGACTCTTTATACTATAGCGAATTGCTAATAGATCCCTTATAGTTTTATGGGAAAATTGCTTTTAGCCCCCAACTTCCTTACAAGTATTCCGCCCCCTCCCAATACTTTTTCAACGGTCCTAAAACCCCCAAAAGCAAAGGCATAATTCCCTGAGCCCCCAAAACACAAAATCCAAGAGTTTAAAACATGTGAAGACCATAATATCCTTTCTTTCTCTTTCTTTTTTTTCATGACGTTACTGTGATGATCGGCGGCGAAGAAAACTACGATCTGGAAGACGGCGATGACGAGTTGCGTCGCCAACCCCCTTAAGTTTACATATTATTGTAATTTTTTATATCGATGACTTGAGATTAAAGTAGAGTATGTAAATTTATATATTGTTATTATTTCACTGTGATAAGTTTGTTGTTAAGCTTATGAGTTGGTGGTGAAGAAAGGTTACGTGTTAGTTTTGAAGGTTACGAGTTGGTTATGAAGTTAACGAGTTAGTTGTCAAGGGTACGTGTTGGTTGTGAAGCTTACGAGTTGGTTATGAAAATGTTATGAGTTTGGTGTGAATGTTACGAGTTGATTGTGAATGTTACACGTTGGTTATCAAGGTTACGGGTTGGTTGTGAAGGATACGAGTTGGTTGTGAAGGATACGAGTTGGTTGTGAATGTTATATATTGATTGTGAAGGTTACGCGTTGGTTGTCAATGTTACGAGTTGGTTGTGAATGATACACGTTGGTTGTGAAGATTATGAGTTGGTTGTGAAGGTTAGTTAACAACAATCACAATCAACTCATTGCCAAGGTTCACAACCAACTCGTAACCTTCACAACTCGAAACATTCATAACAAACCCATAATCTTCACAACCAACATGTAATCTTCACAACCAACGCGTATCATTCACAACCAACGCATAACCTTCACAATTAACTCGCATCCTTCACAACCAACTTATATCATTAACAACCAACCCGTAATCTTGACAACCAACGCGTAACCTTCACAATCAACTCGTAACCTTCACACCCAACTCATAACCTTTTCATAACCAACTCGTAAACTTTACAACCAACACGTACCCTTGGCAACTAACTCGTAAACTTCACAACCAACTCGTAACCTTAAAAACCAACACGTAACTTTCCTTCACCACCAACTCATAAGCTTAACTACAAACTTATTACAATGAAATAACAACAATATTTAAATTTATATACTCTACTTTAATCTCAAGTCATCGATTTAAAAAAATTACAACAATATGTAAAGTTAAGGGGGTTGATGCAATATCATCATCTTCAAGATTGTAGTTTTCTTCGCCGCCGATGACGAACGCCGGGAAAGTTTCGTCGCCGACGTCGATGACGTTCGAAAATTTTGGAGGGAACTAGAATTGTTCCTCCCAAAACTCATTTCAAATCATCACAGTAACATCATGAAATAGAGAGAGAGAGAGAGAGAGAGAGAGAGAGAGAGAGAGAGATAAATGGTATTATGATATTCACATGTTTTAAACTCTTAGGTTTTGTTATTTTGGAGGCTCAAAGAATTATGGCTTTGTCTTTGGCGGTTTTGGGATTGTTCGTAAATCAGGATGTGCTACCTTAATTTGTTACTAAACTGCGTGTCCAACAACCCAGCTTTGAAAACTGATTCGTTAGGATATTGTTTATACTTTGTAGCAAATGAATGTAGTACACTGTCAATACTTTGAGAAATAAACCTTCAAATTTATATTAGCTGCTCTAAGTGATGGGCCCTCTATCTTTGCTGTTGATAATAGTGTATTGTAGTGGGTTTTAGTCCCACATTGCTTGGGAGAACAAACCTCACACTCCTCTACTTGTATAAATATATGTGCACACTCAATATTCAATTCAAGGGAAATTTACCCAAGATTCTCTCTCTCTCTCTTACTTTAACATGGTATCAGAGCTAGGGCTATTTCCCTTTCAATAAAATTTTTAACGCTTTTGCGTTCTTTTGCCAAATCTTGGCCTTATTGCTTTGCAGCCGTTTAATGTTTTATTTTTTTTATTTTTATTTTTAATTATTTGGCGTTCATCTGCCAGATATTTTGGCTTTGTCGTTTTGCGGCCTCTTAACGCGTTTCGCGTTCTCGTTTAACCTTCGGGTTCTATTTTAAACCTTCGGGTTTCATTCTAACCTTCGGGTTCTATTTTAAACCTTCGGGTTTCATTCTAACCTTCGGGTTCTATTTTAAACCTTCGGGTTTCATTCTAACCTTCGGGTTCTATTTTAACGGCATTGTCGTTTCAAGACCGTCTCTCGGTCTCAAATTAACGGCATCGTCGTTTCAAGCCGTCTCTCGGCCTCAAACGAACGACATTAGTAACAGCATCTCGACATCTTAACGTCTCAAGATTGCTGTTATGGCTCCTTCAGAGAAGATTCCCAAACCACCTTTGCCCCTCAATGATCAAAGTGACTGGGCAGGGTGGTCCACCATTGTCACCAATGCCTTGCGTGGCGCTGGTTTGCTTGATCATCTCACCAGTACGGGACCAGTTCCACCGTCCATCAGCACTGTTGCTTCATCCAGTACTATTGCCTCTGGCAGTGGTGATGTCGATCTTCAGACTGCTCGTGCTCTCTATGTCAAGGAGAGTTCAGAGTGGCAATTGCAGGAATTTCGTGTTATGGATTATCTCACTCGCTGTGTTGGCTCTGGTCTCACTGTCGAGATTGGCTCGCTTCCCTCTGCTCAGGCCATGTGGACTCGTCTCACTGAGCGTTTCACTGAGTGCTCGGGTGCACGGGAGGCATATCTTCTGCAACGCATTTCTCTACAACGCAAAGGTAGTTCATCTCTGCAGTCCCATTTTGGACAAATGCAAGCTTTTTGGACAGAGTTACGCTCCATGCTTCCTGGACGTAATTCCACATATGAAGACTGGCTAGCCTGGTACGAACGGCATGAGGTGCATCAATTGTTTCAGTCCCTTCCTGAATATTCAACTATGGCTGATCAACTACTTCACCAGCCTCAATTTCCGACTTTGGCCTCAGTTATGGGAGCTCTCACTGCTTATGAGACCCGGCAGCAGACAGCACGACTCAATTTGTCAACAGACACTCCTACCTCTTCACTCGAGACTGTTTTGTCTGTACCTGTCACTGCTCCTGTTATGAATTATACTTCTCCACAGGCTCCCTCTCCACAGGCTCGATCTAAGCTCTCTTGCAAATATTGTAAGAAGGAAGGACACCGCATTGAGACATGCTTCAAGCTTCATCCTGAGTTACGTTCCTCAGGTACTGGACGTGGTCGGCGACCCCCTCAGTCTCAACCCTCTCGTACACCAGGATTGTTGGCCAATGCTATACCTTCTACTACTTCAGACTCTACTATTCAAGCTATTGAAAGTCTTCGCCGTCAACTTGATGCTTTTCAACATATCACCTCTACATCCGCCGCACAACTCTCTGGTATGCATTTTGCTGGTTCTTCAGCTAATCCTTCAGTCTCTGGTATGAATGATCTCTGGATTTTTGACTCTGGTTGTTCCTTTCATATGACTTGTAATGCCTCACTTTTATCCTCTGTCTTTACTTCATCCTCTCTTCCTCCTATCTACACAGCTGCTGGACAACCATTGTCCATTACTCAGTATGGCTCTATTACCCCACAAAATGATCCATCTGGTCGTCTAACACTTGGTCCCGTCTATGTGGCTCCACAATTGTGCTTGAATTTAATTTCTATTAGCTCTTTATGCATGGCGGGCCTGTTTGTCTCATTTTCTTCTGATACTTGTATTGTGCAGGATCCACAGACGGGCAAGACGGTTGGGGCGGGTCGTAGGAGGCACAAACTGTATTTTCTGGAATATCTTCACCTTCCAGAGTCCATACGTCCACGTTCTCTTGTTGCTTCTCTTTGTTCGTCAAAACCCTCTACCTCGCTTCCTGCCAATTTATGGCATAGACGACTTGGTCATGTGTGTAATAAAAGGCTGGAGAGTCTTATTCAGTCTGGAGTACTTGGTCCTGTATCATCTAGTTCTAGTATTGAGTCATGTGCTGGTTGCAAATTGGCTAAATTCACTGCTTTACCATTTAAAATGAGTACATCTGTATCCACTTCCTTATTTGATTTAGTACATTCTGATATTTGGGGGCCAGCTCCTTTGCCTTCTTCATCTGGCTACTTATATTATGTTAGTTTTATCGACGATTTCTCTCGTTTTACATGGGTTTACCTACTTAAGAATCGCTCTGACGTACTTACTGCTTATCAAGCCTTCACTGCTATGATTTTCACTCAATGGCAATCTCGTATTAAAGTTTTTCGTTCTGATTGTGCCAAAGAGTACCTATCCTCTGCCATGCGCTCTATCATGTCCTCTCATGGGACTATCTTTCAACAGTCATGTCCCTACACTCATGAGCAAAATGGTGTTGCTGAACGCAAACATCGTCATATCCTCGATACTGCCCGATCAATGCTCATTTCTTACTCTGTTCCTCGTCGTTTCTGGGCTGAGGCTATTCTCACCGCGACTCATGCCATTAATATCACTCCATCTAGCTCTCTTTCCGGTGCTACTCCTTATAGTCGTGTTTATACTCATCCTCCCCGTTATGATCTAGTTCGCGTTTTTGGTTGTCGATGTTTTGTTTTTCTGCCATCTCACGAACGTGATAAATTGTCTCCCAGAGCAGTTTCTTGTGTTTATTTAGGAATTAGTTCAGAACATCGAGGTTATCGTTGTTATGATCCCGCAACTCGTCGAGTTCATATATCTCGTCATGTTCAGTTCGAAGAGGATTCTCCATATTATTCTACTTCTGATGACTTTAATTTCCTCCACTCTACCGATCATGCTTCCCCGTCCACTGCATCACCCACTTCTTCACCTCAATTTTCCTTTCGAGATCTCCCTGACATCTCTCCCTCTCCTTCTGTTGACTCTTCCTCACCTGAGTCTTCTCTTACACCATCTAATCCATATCCTGTGGACACAACTCTCACTCCAGAAAATATTGTTGATCTTCATGCACCTGCGCCAGCATCTCCCCCGCCTGAGGTTCCTCTTGCTCTTCGTCGAGGCAAACGCCCACATGTCATGCCTGCCCGGTATGCTTCTGTTACTTCTTATTCACCTATCTTTCATAACTTTCTTGCTGCCATTCATACTATTGTTGAGCCAAAGTCCTTCCAAGAGGCAGTTCAAATTCCAGAGTGGCGACAAGCTATGGCTGAGGAATTTCAAGCATTTCAGCAAACTCATACCTGGGATATTGTTCCCTGTCCTCCTGGGATCTCTCTTGTTGGCAGTAAATGGGTTTATAAGGTCAAGTTTCGTCCTGATGGCACCATTGAACGTCGAAAAATGCTTTTCTTAATATCACTCCATCTAATGTACCTTTAAATTTATGGCCCAATTGTATCCCTAACAATATGATAAAGTGCATCTTAAGTCTTCCAAATTTGTAGCTCGTCCCCGTAATTTAAAAATGTTTGCACCTTAGTCCATTTGTGAAGAATGTTATTTAATAAATATTATATTTTAATTTTCGGGTAACTAGAGTATTTGTGGTCCGCTCTCCTAAAAAAAAGTTTTCTAGAACTACCATTGTATTCATAACTGGGTTATATAGTAAGAGGGTCTATCCCAAGTTAACCCTAATTTTTATTGCATTTTGGTCGTGGATTGAACTCAACTTCATTTCCTAACTAATGCGAGTCATAATTGTCTGTAAACAAAGTACAGTTTTCAATGACTCTCTGTTATGGATACAACCGTAGATGTCGAAACTGATGGCTGTGATTTCTACTTGCAGGTGTCGGAGTTAAGCTGGCAAGTGCAGGGTACGGAGTGTTTGGGATAGATTATGAGGGACATGGGAAATCCATGGGAGCTCGGTGTTACATCAAGAAGTTCGACGACATTGTCTCCGACTGTTGCCTCTTCTTCAAATCAATTTGCGGTATAATTTCGCTGTTTTCTTTTCCTCGCTTTCTAATGTAACTGTAATTAGCGTAAATTTCAGAAAATGCTTTTGAAATTTTCTAGCCTCTCTGTTATCACGGTTGATCGTCGAATTGGAGAAGATCAAAGTAAAAAACGAGTAGTTTAGCAACTTTTAACAATTATCGCGGTCTGTAAGAATTTTCAAACAGTTCAGATGGACTCATAATATGATTTTGAAAGCCCAGAAAAATTTCTCTGATTTAGAATTATTTACAAAGTATTTCCTCGCAAGTATATGTTTTTATGTTAAAAAAAAAAATTGTAGTTTAATTTGCATTCTGGATTAACTTTGGATGGACAGAGTTGGAAGAGTACAAGGAAAAGAGCCGATTCCTTTATGGGGAGTCAATGGGAGGTGCGGTTGCTCTCCTCCTCCACAAAAAGGACCCCACATTTTGGGATGGTGCAGTTCTTGTTGCCCCAATGTGCAAGGTGACGCATGTTATTTTCTTGGTATTCTATCAAAAACCAGTAGCTAACAAAGATGCACAATACTAATTAGTCCCGTTGTTTTGTGTCCAATAAGTCATTAGCAAGTAATTATACTAAGAGTAATTGGGTATGTTCCCGAAAACCACTATATCACTAGCCTGATGGGGTTTAGTGTGTGTCACGTCATCGACACAGGAAAGTACCGGCCCTCATTGTCTTAATTAATTATCAACTAAATTATAGTTGATAATATTTTCATTCCAAAATATATTCTTTATTAAACTCCATTCAGCACGTGTAATAATAGTAATCATCAGATCTCAGAGAAGGTGAAGCCACATCCAGTCGTGATCAATCTCTTGACCCCAATTGTAGAGATCATACCCAAATGGAAGATTGTACCCACCAAAGATGTAATTGACTCAGCCTTCAAAGACCCCATCAAACGTGAAAAGGTAGTTAATTAATTCGGCTGATTAATAATAATCAAAATTATTTGGTTAATCAGCTACACTAACTCCATAGTAATTACTTTCATGCAATCGTTTATGGGTGGTCAGGTTCGGAGTAATAAGTTGATATATCAAGATAAACCAAGGATGAAGACTGCGCTGGAGCTGCTGAGGACTAGTATGGACCTTGAGGAAAGCTTGGCTCGGGTACTAGTTTAACCCAACTATTAAATGCATTAATTATGAGTTAAGGGTTTTGGCTTGGTTAGCCCTACAAAAAAAAAATTAACTATTCATTTTATAAGTACTTGTATAAACAAAATATAGACTCGACTTAATCATAAAAATACAATTTTTTTTGGTAGCTTTCATGAGTAAAGACTAAAGAGTCAAAAGAATTTCACTCAGAGGATCTATCTGTCGAAATGAAACTACAAGGGTACTATGTTAAAAAGCGACATATATGCAATTAACCCTTAAACAAACCAAAATTGTTAACTAACTGTATTATCTAAGTAGCTTTGACAAATTACTTGTACAGGTAAAGATGCCATTCTTGGTACTGCACGGAGAGGCCGACAAAGTGACAGATCCCGAGGTAAGCCTGGCGCTATACAAGAACGCCGGGAGCTCGGACAAGAAAATGAAGCTGTATCCGGGGATGTGGCATGCGCTGACATCCGGGGAGCCTGACAGCAATGTAGAGGCCGTATTTTCGGACATCATCAAGTGGCTTGACGACCGCCTGAAGGGCACGAGGTTGGTCGGCGGCGGTATCTCAGAGAATCCGGCGGAACGTGGCCAGGAGAGGCAGGGAAGAGTGCACCACCACTCTTCACTGTGACGGTGAAATTAGGATATCACAGCGTGAAAATGGGGCCATAGAAATCAAAACCTGATAGGAAACATCAGATAAGAGGGCCTCGGATGGGGAATACTACATATCAGTGTGCTGATTCATGCGTTGTACGCTGATACAATGTTCTCATTGGTGAAGATGTTTTAATTTTTTGCACGGATGAAGACATTTTAATTGATTGCATTGACGACGTTGAGTTCTGATTGCGTAACCGGTATCGCATTCTCCTTCACCGTGTACTGATTCGTACATAGAACCCTCTTATAGGATTTATTATCCCTGATCAAGCAATCAGTGCTGAAGAAAGCAGTCTTCTAGCTCTCCAGTGACGGGAAAAAAAAGCAAGGGGTCCCAGCGACACAAGATAGGAAACATGCATAAGAGAAACACTAGTCTGAGAGCGCAAAAAACTACAACAAGCTTCTTGAATAAACATCCAACGAAAACCAGATTATCCAAAAAAAAACATGTTTTCTTCTCCATCTCATATAGATTGTTCCCAGCAGTTGCCTGCCTTCCCACATAATCACTCAAAACTGAACTGTTTTGTGTTACGTCTGCTCTCTGCTGCTTTCCTCTGTCTCTCTCCCTTTTTTGTCTCTGCTATTCAAATGGGGCAGGGTGGGACTTCGAGAGTTGAGCCAGCCTGAATCTGACCCCAGCCAATGAGACGCCAATGCTTCTCGACTCTTCGACTCAGCGCAACCTTCTCACCTTTGCTCGTGCACACCGGTGCAGTGAGCTGCAATTTTGCCAGGTCGTTCTTTACTGCGACTACTCGAGCTCCTGTGGACATGGACCCTATGTTAAGCATCAGGATCTCACCCTTTGCGAGCTTTGATACTTTTCCTTGCTTCTCTGTGCCTTTTGTTCTCACACCCAACAGCCTCCGCAGCAGGAAAAAGTTAACCTGTAAACAAAGGGAAATGAACAAAATTAAAACCAATCCCAACAAGAAGACATATACACATGAAATAAAGCTTAAAGAAAATGACTAATGTCTATAATGTATATAAAAAAAGCAAATTTGAACTTTAAGAACGTGACTTTTTGAATTCGCAGAATTACCTGCATCAGTCAACTTCTTTCTAGATGTTAATCTTAGTTTTCAAATTCACTAAGCTTCACCTTAATTGATTAAAGTCAACCATATACTTCTTACTTCAATTAGAAAACCAGAGTATCTTAAAAGATTTCTAAATACAATAGAAATAAACTGCTTCCTTACTATTATTAGAAGAGACATGTAAATTTTTAATTTGATTAGTATCTCTTCCCAGATGGTAGAATATGTATTCAATTATTTAAAAAAATAAAATGTTGTTAAATTAGAGTTAGCATTCAATTAGCTTTCCTCTATATATTATTTCATATATAAACAAGATATAACCTCACTCAGATTTATCAAATGTTCAAGGTCAAATGTGCAATGACTAATGCACATCTCCAAAATAATGGTACAAGGGAAAAGAAGAAGCTGTTGCATTTCTCCATATGATTTGTACATTTTCTCATGTTACAAAACAAGAGATAAATGACACAACATGAACAAAGATAATGAAAGCTAACCTCGAGCTCAACAAAAACATCAGGCAGTGAACCAACTTCACCAAGAACTTGACCCACAAGCCTATCAGCACGGGTCAAGGTTGGATCCATTGTGGTACCTACTCCAATGAGGCCCCCAGGAACCGCAAACTGGAGTTCATTTTGCTCAGCATACAATGAGACGATTCTCGAATATATGGGAGTACATTTGATGTTGCCACCTTCATCTTTCAGCACAATACCAGGTCGCACTTCAATGAATTGGTTCACTTTCAAAACTCCCTGCAAATAACCCCAGACTATATTAAAAACTGATGATCTTCAAACAGGGCAGGCTAAATGTGTTAAATATATCAAAAATGGAATAATTATAGCCAACTCACTAAATACAAAATGATGGGAAAATTGTATATTGATCATATCAAGCTCAAACAAAATTATGAACATACCCTGAGGATACTTCCACCAGCAACGCCACCTTTTATCTCATCAACCTCAGATCCAGGCTTATTCACATCAAAAGAACGAATTACGATCATGTTTGGTGGCGATGTGAAGTCCCTCCTAGGGATCGGGATTTTGTTCACAATATACTCGCAAACAACATCAATATTATATTTCAACTGAGCAGAGATCGGCACTACAGGAGCACCATCTGCAATTGTTCCCTGCACCCATCACTTCCCAATATGTAAGAGATGACAAAACCAAAATCAATTAGGAATCAATTTAAAATTCTGGAAAGAGGTAAGAGGTAACTCAGTTTAGATGAAACTGACCTGAATGAACTTCTGAATAGCTTCATGCTGATTAATTGCTACACTTTCCTGGATAAGATCAATCTTATTCTGCAGAATTATAATGTGCTCAAGGCGCATGATCTCAACTGCAGCGAGGTGCTCAGAAGTTTGGGGCTGTGGGCAGCTTTCATTACCAGCGATTAGTAGCAATGCTCCATCCATGATAGCAGCACCATTAAGCATTGTAGCCATGAGAATGTCATGACCCTAGAAGAAAAAGCATCATCATCATTAGTAGCATATCATGGTATGCACCTATAAACATTCTTGGGAGCAACCAACAAAACACGTGCTTACAGTCCAAGCAAACCTATTCATGCACAGATAAGTTGTACAAACTTAATCGACAAACCATGTAAAGGAGCAAAACAGTCTAACAACACACCAGTTAGTTATTAAGCTTCCAGCAATCATCAAGGAGTTTCAACAGGAAAATAAGCATTATAAAATCAAGTGCGTTATGCACATGATTTTAAAAAATTATTACATGTAAAATTTTCCAAAAATATTACATTATAGTATGCCATAGGAATTTTACGCATCCACTCATGTAATATATATTATACAAGAAAGCCTCTAAAATTGGGGATTACTAGACCCACGTATGAACCCTGTGAGGTTACGTATTGCCTGTGGAGCGTTGGCCAGACAGATTATGCTGGCCCCATGAAATATTGATAGACCACTTACAGATATACGAATAGCATTTTACTAGACCTTTTGGAGATGTCCAAGGGGGTTTTACCTGGAAACTTTGGAGATGTGCAAAGCCCTTTGCCAATTCCGCTTGAGACTACAGGACTTATAGGATTTACTAGACCTATGTCATATCTTTCTGATAAGGTTTTTTGAACTACCACAGGACCTGTTGGATGACACCAACATGCTATTGGATACTTGGCTAGATGGTATAACAGCTTAAAAGAATATTAGTGGTTCACTGAGGTATAGATTGGAGACCTTGAGTAATGCCCAGCTTGATGATCTTGTGTTTTGAATTGTTAAAAGAATTGAATTCTGATAAGAACTAGAGATGTGTTACACTTAATACAATCCCAAAAATTACTGGTCAGGAATGATAAGATATTGCTCTTAAATTCAATGACTAATGGCATCTAGCCGTATGATCTAAGGGTCTATCTTAGGGGCGTGAAAGTGTACGTTTACTTCAATTGGATTTCTGAAAGCAACTATTCGGTGCTTCTTTAAGACTAGAACTAGCTTTTAAAGCTAACTGTTTGCCATCAGCATCTTAACCCTCAGACCATAGACCTACATTTTTTGCCTCGGGCCAGTAAGAAATCTCTCCAAAGTCCAGACTAACCCATCAAGAAATTGAAGGCCAATGTATTCCATTTTTACACAATCATCTCAAATAGTACTATTGCCCACTCGAGAGGGGAGAATGGGAAAAGGACACTGATCATGTTTTCAGCGACATTCCCATGTCTACATTCTGCTTCCAAGTTGACTACCAATTCAAAGCAAAATTTTCATTGCTACTCATAATAAATCCAGGTTGCAATTACCAGTCATCTAAGCCTTTCCTAATCAAATGTGGTTGACAGCAAACCAGAGTCGCAGTGATCCATGGATCTTTTGGAAAAAAAACTTAATGAGCCGCTGCCAACCTGACACCAACATTAAAGCTAATGCCAAGTTCCTAGCCTATGAAAACATAAACAGGTAGAGAACATACTATAAATCCTAGAATAATTATTGGCAGGCAGATAACATCTGGCCATCTTGCATACATAAAATTAAGCTTATGCACCAAAGAAGAAACATCCAAAGATTTTCCTAGACAAAGAATATTGAATAGGGGAGAAGGTAATAGATCATGAAGTTCAGACATCCAGGATATAGACATCTGCCTCCCTGACATTTGTCTATACTCAATAAGAATATGACTCACAATCCTCCATACCAGCCTTGCCAATCATCTATTTTCTTCCATGCAGTTGAGAAGTAGTTAAGTATGAAAGAGCATCGCCTAGATGCAGGAGCTTAAACTATTTGATGTCTGCTGCCCATAAATGGACGCATAATTTTTTTAACAGGCCCTCCCATAATTTCCTAGGTGTCGGAAGGACAACATGACACTACCTTACGATGACTGTTCATAACAAGCCTCTCTTCATAACTGCTTCCGTTGCAATATGGGACTGCCTCATGATGGTTATCAAGTTGGTTATCAATTAAAAATTTATCATCTTGGACCATTCTTTAGAAAGTCCTTTCAGACTATGGCTGCCCAACAGCTAACCCCAACTAGCTAAATTACTGGAAAGAGAGATGCTAAGACTACATAAATGAAAAACTACTACATGTTAATAATATGTCAATAACTCATGAAAAAAATACAAAACAGATCTATATACATATTCTCCAAAAGAATCATTAACAGATGTTCCACGGTAATGTAAAAATAGTTTGAGCAGTCATTTTACCGGGCAATCCACAAATGAAACATGCCTCAACAGCTTCATTCTAGCATTCTCAAATCCTGGCACATCACATAAGGGACTGTCTTCTTTTCCACTTCCATAAGCCCTGCATGCATGTGAATCTCATCAAACAGCGAAAAATAAATACAGACTAAAATCGGAACTTGTCCCATCAACGATATCATACTTGTAACACATTGGTCGAGGACATCTATCATCTTCACATTTATAAATCTTTGCATTAGCGTAACCCAGTTTGATAGTAATATTTCGCTCCAACTCATTCTTAAAGCGAACAGTCTGCATTATGTGAAATCCAAACAATGTCATACCCAAAAAAGATTTAAAAATAAAAAAATGCCTAAAAGGCTATTATTGGCTACCAAAAAGTAACATAAATATTCAATGCAAAACATTCAACTAAATGTTACATCATATTCTTATGCAAGCAAATTTCAAGGAAGAGGAGACTGATTTCTTCGACATATGAAACTTCAAACTTGTACAGACAACCATCGCAAAGAGGCCCCTTAGTAACTATGTAAAAGATCAGTATTGGGAAGAATACAAGATATATGTGTGCGTGTGTGCGCGTGTGTGTGCATGCGCGCACGTATACGTGTGCGTGCGTACATGTGTGCATGTGTTCGTATGTAAACATTGTTAGATATAAAATTATAACTCTCCCTCTTATCTTCTTCATTTATCCAAGGTCTGAAGAACTTGAGAAGAAGATACGAGGTCTAAGGAACTCGGGAAGGAGATTAAGTCGGCAGACACCAAATGTTTATCTCAATTCTTTTTCAGAGGGATACAGCCCAATCAAGAAGGAAAGAGAGAACCCCAACTCGCCAAAGTGAACAATGGATTAGGATACAGCCCAGTCAAGAAGGAAAGAGAAAACCCCAACTCGCCAAAGTGAAAAATGGATTAGGATACACTGCACCAGTATCACCAAGCAAACAATTCAGTATTAAGAGTTGATACTAATAAACTATTGTGAATAAGTCTTATATTG